CACACACACACACACACACACACACACACACACACACACACACACACACACACACTCAAACGCAGGGGAATGAGGAGTTGATTTACAGCATGTGTGAAGATTTTAGCAGCCAAAGCTTTTTTCCTAGAAATCTCTGGCACAAACCGCCTTTGTCACATTACCTCATGACTAAACACTCTCACTCCCTCCTCTGGCTCTGCTTAACATCACTTCGCAGGCACCGGAGCAGAACCTCCACACATGCACACYTAGGGCAGGCGCACACCTCCACAGTAACCAGCCCTCAGCTGGAACTTAGGACGCTCTGTAAAAACCTGCGATCAGCTGAAATCAACAGAATCAGATGACTCCACGTCCTCTCCGTGAACGAGGCAAGAACCCGAGTCATCATTCCCCATTTTTTTTGAGCAAACACTCGCCTTTCAATGGTCCTCTTTGTGAGTCTTAAACTCAACATGTCAATATCGATTCATGAAAGCTGCTCTTTGTGAACAGCAACTGGCAAAACGTGAAATTTCCCTCATAAACAGAAATGAAAAGGGCAAACAGAGGGAACACGTAACCAGTTAGAAAGGTACAGCACACAGGAAGAATATATTTTTTCTTCTTTCTTTTTAAAGCCAATAAGGCTGAGTTAGAAAAGCAACACTCACACAGACTCAGGTTTTGCAAGAAAAACAGCCTGAAGGCAAATCTATGACCCAGCTGTATACGAAAATAAACTTCTGGCCAAGTTTTTTGGGGCTTGATGTCACACAGCTGAATAGAATGTGGCACATTTTACAGCCACTGCTTCTCTGCAAACCAGTGGCTTGTGTCACAGATTTAGCTCTGGACCTCTTTATTGCCTTGCTGAATCACTGATAAGATGAAAACTTCAACAGCAGCCTTCAGAGATGCGCTAAGGCCAGCAGGGAGGGCCTGGACTGGAACAGAAGCATAGATACAACAAGAAATAAGGACATATAAAATTTACTGGGAATGGTAGGAAGATTTCCACGTTTTTACTTTACTTAAGGGCTGCAACTAATGATTATTTTAAAAATCGATTAATCTGTCGATTATTTTTTCGWTTAATGGGCCAAATCATTAAAACGCTTAGTTACATAAATATGAGTAGATATAAATTAATTTCATTCCTATATAAATTAAGGTTACAAGTTATTGATTAATTAATTAACCTGAAGTTGATTTATCTTATAGACTGACTAACAATTAATTGATAAGCAGTCATTTTCTGTCGATTATTTTTTCGATTAATGGGCCAAATCATTAAAACGCTTAGTTACATGAATATGATTAGGTAAAAATTAATTTCATTCCTATATAAATTAAGGTTACAAGTTATTGATTAATTAATTAACCTGAAGTTGATTTATCTTATAGACTGACTAACAATTATTTGATAAGCAGTCATTTTCTTTAAAACTGGAGTTTTCTCTTGAATCAAGAGGGTCTTTTCAAAACATGAAGGATTTTGTTTATAACCTCCTGAATTAAAAAAAAACAGAAGCACATCATACAGCGGGTAAAATAAGTATTGAACACGTCACCATT